TCCCGACGAGTCCGAATTAACGACTTTTGACTGTACTTGTAGCATGTTCCTTGTTAATTATTTAATTCTGAAGTTTAAAATCAAATATTTAAAGAATAAAAAAAATATACATGAAAATAAATAAAAATCCCACTGATCAACAGAAATGATGCCTTCGACTATGCACATGCAGAAAGAATTGTACAAAGTAATCCTTCAAACTAAACATAAAGACACGATTTAGTGGCTTTTAGCATGCTTAGACTAGCACCTGCTTGATTTTACACATTCTACTGCATAGTGGAAGAGTATGTATGCATAGACACTGCCATGTATGAATAATCGAGAATGCACTGTATTTTGAAACCCTGTATTCTATTCTTACAAATTTTGAACTCTACATGGAGTTTACCTCAGCTTATGTATAAATAGCATAGGCAAATGTTATAAATTGAAATTTTACTTAGCTAAGAAAGAATAAGGCTAAATAAAATTACCCGCCTTATTAAAAAAAATAAATGACAACTTACCCCACCAATAAAAAAAAGGTTGTAGTACACATACTGAGCATAAAAATTTTAAAATACTAGCCTGTGAAAATTTGACTATGACATGAATAAAATAGGAAAATTTAAAATACCAGAATGTCTAATTTTAATATTAAAATGTATAACTTAAATCTTCAACTTTTAAATTACAAATTAGAGAAATTTTAAAACACCGTACCTTAAAATTTGGCTAAAGGACTACATTTTGTTTCACATTATTATATCATGATGAAATAACATACCACTCTAAAATTGAAGTTTTATACATTAAAATTCTTATTAGAAATATGATGCTTTGATTTCTTACAAACCCTATACAACTAGAATATATGCTGTATAGGTATAAATTGTTAAATATACAGAATAGTGTGCATATGTGACCATATAAATTTGGTACAAATTTTCATAAAATACCCAAAAAAAAAGCAATCATTTACATTTGATAAAAACTTTAATTCAAATCAATAAATGCAAGAAGACAAAAATTCAAACACTTGTAATGAAATGCATTTTAAAATTAAACTGCATAAAAATTACATCTGTGCTTTAGAGCATTAATCAGAGCTATCTTATCTTGACTGCCATAATTTTTCCTGTAACACTCAATTTAAGCATTTTACGCTTGATTTATAAGCCAGAAGGAAGATAAATTACAAAATTTTAAAAATGCCCCAAACAACAGCTTATTGTTTAGGTAAAAAAAGGTTAAACGGAAAGGAAAACACAAAAATCATACCTGGCGATTCAACTTTCTCTAATGCATAAATAGGCATTGAAGCACAATCACGTGCAATAAAAAATCCCAAGTTTTTATATTCACTGAGTGGGGGCAAGACAACCTGCATGATGTGTTTCACAGTTTGTGTATCTGCATCATAAAATCCAGCCTATACAAAAATTTACATTTTTAGTAGATACGTTGCAAAAATTAATTATTTAAAATTATCAAAAACAAAAACACATACCCTCATTTTTGAAATTTGTTCAAACAGCATACGGGGAGGATACACATAACTATGATTCAACAGCATTAAGAAACAACGGCGATATTCATAATCCACAATAGCAGTCTTGTTCTAAAAGAGTTGAATTTTAAGTCAATAAATAAATCTTCAAATGACTGATACAGCATTTATCTTACAATACAAGTGTAAAATTAATAAAAAAAAAAAAAAAAAAAAAAAACTAAAAAAATAAAAAAAAAATAAAATAAAAAATAAAAAAAAAAAAAAACAATAAAAAAAAAAAAAATAGAAATAAAAAAAAAAAAAAAAAAAAAAATACAATGTAAGAAAAAATAGAGAAATATAATACCTTCTCTCCCCCCAAAAAAATAATAACAAATACATCATAAAAAATTCAAAAAACAAAAAATAAAGAACGTAAATATAACAAATAAAATACAAAATAAAAAATATACAAGATACAAAAAATTAATAAATAATTAAAAACTAATTAAGAAAACCACTATAACAATTATCAAAATCATTAATATAAAAAAAATAAAATAATAAAAAAAAAAAAATAAAACAAGTACAAATAACCAACATAAAAATAAAGAAGACAACATAATAAAACCCAAAAAAAAAGAAATAATATAATAAAAATAATACAACAAAATACAAACAACAAAAAAACCACAACATAAAAAAAAAAAAATACAAAAAAAATAGAAAAGAAAAAAAAAAAAAAATCAAGAAAAAAAAAACATAATCAGAAAATATAAAATCAACCCTCCCATAAAACAAACAAAAACAACAAAAACCAAAAAACAATCAAATAAAAAAACCCCTAAAAAAACAAACAATTCAAAAAAAATCACAGACAAAAAAAGAACATAAAAATAAAAAATAAAATCAAAAAACATAAAAAAAAGACAAAAAAAAAAAAAAATCATTAAAAATTAAACAAATCTTAGAAAAAAAAAAAAATTAATAAAAAATAAAAAAAAAAAAAGATAAACATAAACTAAAAAACCTATAAAAAAAAAAACAAACAAATAATAAAAAAAAAAAAAATTAAGAATAAAAACAAATATAATAATAAAAATAAACCCACACACAAAAAAAAAGAAAAAAAAAATCCCCATACACAAAAAAAGACTCTCAAACATAAAAACATAAAAAAAAAAAAATAAAAAAAAAGAAAAAAATTTTACCGAAATAAAACATCAGCAAAAAAAAAAACAATTAAAAAAAACAAGAAAAATAAATATAACAAAACAAAATAAAAAAGAAAACCTCTCTCACAATTGCAAAAATATTAAAATAAATTCAAACGTGTAATAACCCGAGCGACTTTGAAATAAAAAACCAAGAAACTAAAAAAATTTTTACTACAGCATAAACATACCAAAATAAAAGAAATAAAAAAACACAAAGAATAAATAAAGATATTAAAAAACAAAAAAACACAAAAAATAAAACAAAACATATAAAATTAGTTAAAACCCATCTTCAAATTTCTGCTCTAAATTAAAAAATAAAACGATACTTAATACAAATAAAAAAACAAAAAAAAAAAATAAGAAAACCAAGCAAAACAAGAAAAAAGAAATAAAAAAACAAAATCAAATTAATAAAAAAAATGAACGAAATTAAATCAACAGAAAAAAAACTAATAAAAAAATTAAATACAAAAAAAAAAAATAAACAGATAAATGAAACAAAACTAATAAATAAAAAAAAATAAATTAACTAGCACCTAAAAAAAACAAAAAAAAGAAAAAAAAAACAATAAAACAAAAAAAACAAAAATAAATTATAAAGACAAAAGAACTAAACCAAAAAAAATACATGATTCAAAAACACAAAAAATTAAATATAAAAAAAGACCCACCAAAAAACAAAAAAAAAACAAAAAACTTAAAAAAAAATAAAAATAAATAAAAAAAAAAAAAAAATCTATATGTAAAAAAAGATCCAAAACCAACAAAAAAAGAAAGAAAGATTAAAAAGTAAAAAACTTAAAATTAACCACATAACAAAAAAAAAAAAACAATAAAAAAAAAAAATTAAACTATGAAAAACAAAAAAATAAAATATAAAAAAAACGAAAAAAAAAATAAACTATAATTAACCCCAAAAAAAAAAAAATGAAATTAAAGTCCTGTCCCTCATCCCCGCCTTCACTCTCCCATATCCCTTCTCACACGCTTCGTACCAAAAATTAAAAATAAAACGAAATATATAAAAAAATTAACCATCAAAAACAAAATATAAACATACAGAAAAAAAAAAACTAAAACGAAAAATCAAAAAAAAAAAAAAAAGAAAAAAAAAAAAAAAAAAAAAAAAAAAAAAATAAAAAAAAAAAAAAAAAAAAAAAAAAAAAAAAAAAAAAAAAAAAAAAAAAAAAAAAAAAAAAAAAACAAAAAAAAAAAAAAAAAAAAAAAAAAAAAAAAAAAAAAAAAAAAAAAAAAAAAAAAAAAAAAAAAAAAAAAAAAAAAAAAAAAAAAAAAAAAAAAAAAAAAAAAAAAAAAAAAAAAAAAAAAAAGAAAAAAAAAAAAAAAAAAAAAAAAAAAAAAAAAAAAAAAAAACAAAAAAAAAAAAAAAAAAAAAAAAAAAAGCTTATTTGACTTCCTTCCTACACAGACTTCTGGATTTGTTGTTAACGAGAACAGAAAATTTAATGAATTTTGCTGAAGAAAATTAAAAATCATAATAAATCAATCAGCATTTCAAAAATGTTTTAAATAATTAAAAATAAATAATTAGCTACAAAGTTTTGCAAAAATGTTTCACAATAAACTGACTTACAACTAACTAGGTGAGGATTGCGCATGTATTCATATCAGGATCACAGAAACCTGATAGGACACAAGTTTCAGGCTTTAAAAACAGTAACACTAAATCATCAAATGTTTTCACCTGAAAAATATGGTCATTCTCTTCAAGAACATAAAACACTTTCATGAAAACCAGAGTGACATAAGTAATGTGCAAATGTAGAGGTATTACCATACTGATTGATGGCATGGGAACTCTATATAACAAAATATATAAATGTTTTAATATTGTTGCCTATTAGATCAGACTTTTAAGTTTAATAAATTTTAATCTAAAATACTTATTTAAAATTTCAAACCTGTATGTCACAAAAAAAGTACGAGATTATGATGCAAAAATACATTTTGCAGATAAAACTAAAAGATTTTCCAAGATCAGAGGCTACAAGTTAAAATTAACAACTGTAGCATATTACAAGTCCATTTATAAGATGAAATATCTAAACAAATAAAATTTTTAGATGTGTAAATTATAGGTAAATAATTTATTAAAATTTACACTATAATTGTATTTAGAATTAAAAAATTTAGCATAATTTGCTTTTCAATATTTTTTCTTTCATGATGTAACTTCTACTGTTTCCAGTTTTCCTTTGTAAATCTGCTAAAGTATGTATTGTATATTACAAATTAAAAATTCTTAAAATTTCTTTTAACAGAAAACTGCAAGAAAAATTTTATACATTACTGCAAAAATAGACCATGTTAAGAAAATTATTATCAGATGTCCATATTTACTGCTTATAAATTTATTTTGCTCTATGTTGCTCCACAAGATGAATTTACTGTGCATACATAAAGTATATTTTACATAAATCATGTCTGATGTTACTATAAAATGAATCATAACATTTACTGTGTATGTTAGTATTCTCAAAATAAATTAAGATGTAAAAGAAAATCTTGAAAGTCAGTATCTTACACATGTTAAAATATAATTTATGAAAGTAATACTAAACAAAAAACAGTAAACTATATGATAATACTTGACAGCAGAAAAAACTTGAAACATGTCAAGTGAAACTTGAAGTCAGTGATGCAACCTCGAGTTTGGCCAAGCTCAAGGTTGTTGCATTACTGACTTGATAATACTTACCACAACAAAATCATGTACAAACAGACCACGACGTCCATGAGCAAATGATGGTACTTGTATTCTTTCATACTGCTGGAATTTTATGTCAATATCAACTTCTTCTTCAAAAAAGTTAGCTTTCGGAGATTCTGCTTCCCATGATTCAGTAGGATTAGCAGATGCATGATGTTGCTTACTAGCTACATATGGCTCATGCTTTGGATCTTCTTGAATGTCAGGAAGATAAGGAATACTGCACCATCCACGAAAATGTCGTAACTGAAACATATTTTATAACTGAATATTTTTTACAATGTAAAAAACTCTGATAACACTGTTACAGAATACTGCGCAGTAAGCTACTATAAAACAAGTATGTGCAGGGGAAAAGTAACAAATATGACAGCTGCTTTATTAATATAAAATAAAACTGATATAACCCTAATTCTCAATTTGATTAATGTCTTTTTGGTAATTAGTTTAAAATCTGTGAAACACTAAACAACATTAAGCAAATGGTTAAAAAACTAAACCCTCAAAATTAAGTTTTTATTACACATGTAAAATTTAACAAATATTCAAATTGCAGAAAAAGTAAATGCCTAAAATTTTGGAATTAGGTAAAATTGTTTTAATTGCCCCAAAAAAGTTTTTTTATTTTATTTATTTATTTATTTATTTATTTCTATTTTCTTTTAAATTATGATGATGGAACATGAAATCCCAACATTAGTTAGCAGTTCAGCTACACGAATGAAAATCAGACATCTGTCATTTATTTTCATTATGTAAATTCCATATCTCGGTGCTTACATGTTACATGAATGAGCCAAACTGATAACCATATGCATGATCATTTTTCAAGCAACTATGCTATGCTCATAACAATCCATCCGTCAAGCAACATCATTTTTGTAGGTATTCTTTTAGTGTATTCCAAGTTCCAAAAGTTCTTATAAATAAATTTTTTTTTTGCCTTAAACTTGACTTTAAAATATACACTGATGGAATTTACTGCCAATGAAAGAAATTAATGCAAAATTTCAGCAGGTATACAGAATTTGGCCACAAAACCTCTAGAGAAAACATCGAGGGCATGTGCTTGGTTAGGTAGTCGTTGTCACCAAGGTCTACGTAATGCCAGGGTTTTGCAATTCTCTGACTTTTTTTTTAAAAGAATGTTTTATTTTTTAATGCATCATATAATTCTTATTGAATAATTAAAACCTATATTTTAAACTGCTAAAGCATGTTTCCGTTTCTTGCATTGACACTGTTTACTGACTGAATGATAAATAGTTCGTAATTTATTTTTGAAGTAACAAAAATCCCCAACTTGCACCTTATAAGCATCTTTTACCTTTTATCTGTAAAAAAACTGTTAACTGTGCCAAAGTGGTTGCATTAATACATGGGTAATCAAATCTATAGGTCATATTTTGCACATGCAGCATCATTTACCCTCAGTAATCACCATAATGTTGAATACAACCATATAAAAGGGTGTTCCCACTGGGGTTTATCTGAGCTAACGGGGACAACTAACATAGCCGACCCATCTCCAAAACCAGTTTTTCCCCATTGGGGAGCAAGTTGAAAAATTTGAACTGCAAGCATAGCAAAGCTAGTCAACACAGGGAACTAACTGACTCTGTTGGCTCAGATAAACCCCAGTAGGAATGGCCCTTAAGTGTGCATGCATCTAATCATACAAACATTAGATATCATGTTTTGTATGGAATTCTAAATTTGCTTTACCTGAACAATTAAATTAGCAGACCTTGTTACTGGCTAAGGATAAGCATGAAGCTGACATTCAATGACACTCAACAAACACTTGATGGATATAAGATAGAGAGATATCTCTAACCATGGCAATATCTTAGTATGTTGAACAACATGTTAGATTTCACTTGCAGTGTGGAGACAAGAATTACCTCATTAAAAGCCCCTTCGAATTTCACTCATGAATGAAAATGCAATGATTTTGATTACTATTCTTGTTAGTCCAGAAGAGCTATTGATTTCGTTTTGGTATTCTGCGTTGGAAACTTTAAATGTCTGTTCACTTTTCAAACTGTTGCCACCAAATATTACAGCTCTGTATTATATTTAAAGAAATTTAATGAAGAATCTGCATTAAATGTATGCATATTTCCTGCACTGTGATAAAACGACAGTACCTAGCGCCATCAAGTTTTGAATTGTGTTATATTTCCACCCGAATATTGGCATATGGAGGCCGGATTAGGAATTAGTTTTATTACTTATTTCATATTTTGTAAAACTTTAAGGAATATTTGATTAACAAACTCAACGATTTCAAAACGAGCTATGGCAACACTGTACGGGGGAAAAAAACATTTTTTTCTCCAGCGCATGAGACTGTATCCAAAATTCTAAGGACATGCTCGTTTTAAAATTATTTTTCAATTTTGCTGCTGAATTGGATTTTATGGTTTAAATGCAAAGAACATAATATTTAATAAATAAAGGTAACACAGAAAACATTTAAAAATGCCCCCTTCAGCGTAATGTAAAATCTGAAAGCCTTCAGATTTTTTTATTTATTAATTTTTAGATTTTTCTTATATATATATGCAATTCTTGGGATAAAAATGAGAGTTCTGCCAAAAAGAAGCCAAAGGATTTTTGTAAAAGTAAGTTCATTATACATTCCTTCCTACATCATTATGCCCGGGGTACAGCAGGTATGCCAGTAATAGATGCACAGTATATGTTTGTCATGTCTCTTGCTGCTCTGTGCATGTATGTTAATGACATGTAGGCAGAAATGTTGTTACTCTGTGAACACAACAATCTCCATTCTACCTTCCAGTAGGCTCTAATTTGACACTGCAGATGCATATGATGGTGATTTGGAGTAACTATCTAATACCACCTAATGCTTGCTAAGAGTATTACTCTCCAATAACTGATTTAACAATGTTAATTTAGTAATGCAGGTCTTGCTGAATCTTGAATATCTACTATAGTTCCCTATTTCTAATTGGACTGGATTAGGCTTGTAGCAGTGCCTTCTTCCTATTGCTATTAATATATAATTTTGTACATGTCCTACTCCATTCTCTGTAATGGTTATGGTAAAAAAATTTTTACTGCATGATTTCATTCAAAATTAGTAAAATGGCCAAACTGAAACTGCCATCTTGGAAGCAACTTTTAACTCTCAACAAATGCAAATTACTGATCCCTAGAAGAAAGAGACACTCATTAAATACTTCACACATATTTAAGAACATGCAAATTTGCATTTAAACTTGATAGTATTAGCACCATCCATGAGTTGCGATTTTTTACAATTTCGTTAAATGTCATGTCTCAAATGCAGCACAAACATCCCCTTCCTTTCATTTACCTAGTTTTCCTAGCTGCTTTGATGTGATTTCGTTTTCCATCAATATAGGTAGATCTGATTTTCACAGTTGCTTATTAAGGCATACATCACATTTTATTGGAGAAGAAATTATTTTTGCCATTTTCAATTTTAATAAACATACATTCATTATTTTTCAAATTAAATTGATTACTCTTTTCAAATACTCTAGCATTGGTTTAACCCCTTTCTGTAAAAGCTTGCATAATCTACAATATAAATAACAGTAATTTTCTTTAATATGCTCAAATATGAAAGCTTAAAAGCATATTTTCTAAGCATGCAACATTTCAATGGATTTTGAGTCTTTATAAATTACTGTAACACATAAAATGCATTAATGAAAACAGCTGTATTTCGGTGATTAAATTACTAATATTACTGAAGGTATTGCAGAGCTTTTTAAAAGCACATATATGTACCAACAATAGCAAAAATTATCTACTGACCACAATTCTAAGTTAGGCTAGTTAATGGGAAGCACTAGACAGTTTGCTGCCATAGAATGGATGATTTCTTGGAGAATTTCTAATCAAGGTAATAATAAAGGTGACTATGAAGATAACATACTAACATACAAGCTAAAATGTCTATATGCAATATAAAGAAAGAATATGATAAACTGCCTAAGAACAAACTGAGTTTAAATGGCATTGGCAAAAGCCTGTTACTGCAAATAGGCAAAAAATGTTACTCAGCTTTATAGTAAATTTAAGCAGGTACTAATAATCTTAAAATTTCCTATGTTATCCTAAATAAGAACACATACTCCTTTTCATGAAAGATAAAAAAGAGCTGATGTTCCAGGCTATACTTTGTTTTACCCGAAAAATGCAGATGCAGAAACTAAATGGATCTGCTTAATTTACCGCAGCCATCTTATTTTTATCACAGTTAAAATTAAACCTGCACATCTATGGCATTATAAGCTCTTTTCTTAAACTATACAAAAGCTCTTAAAGAAACAGATTGCATGTTAACGTGTGCAGATTATAATATGCACCCCGTGCGAAAGTAAGAATTTGAAAATTTTTTCTATTTTTACAAAAAGTATATTTTTATCACAGTTAAAATTAAACCTGCACATCTATGGCATTATAAGCTCTTTTCTTAAACTATACAAAAGCTCTTAAAGAAACAGATCGCATGTTAACGTGTGCAGATTATAATATGCACCCCGTGCGAAAGTAAGAATTTGAAAATTTTTTCTATTTTTACAAAAAGTATTAAACTATAGATATTAATTATGCCTCCGAGGAATTATGCAAATACTCAGAGTCGAATACGTAAACATACATGTGTGTGTCTTCAAAGCTCTGATTATGGAGGGGATATAAACATATGAGGGGTTTCAGCAATTTGTGTGCTCGTACTCCTTCACGACATTCTGCATTTCTCACAAGAACTGCGTAAATTTTATAAAATATGAATAAAATGAGTAGCCATAAACGTATAGAGGACACAATTAGATGGAGATTTGTCAGTAGATTGGAAACAGATACTCAATTAAATTTAAATAATTTAGAAATATATCATACTCAATTAAAAATACAAGAAACACAGTGACGCACACAAAAGAATGCATTTTCAAAAATTTATACTAAATTCAGTTCTTACATCACACGGGCCCTATTCTCACTGCCAGCAATGGCACCTATCCAAATTTCTCATGCATTACTGATCTCCTCACATGGGCCTTACTCTTACTACCAGCAATGGCAACTGTCCAACATCTGTTCCGTCTTACCGACAGGTTTAGAGCCAATTTTGGTACAATTCAGTTATCAGGACCTGGTATTGCATGGATGGATGGATGAATTCATGCATGTATATCAGTATGGATGTTAGTGTGTGTACATACACACATATATGCACATACATACATACACAGCTGCATACATTCGTGTACTTCTGAATTCGGTCCTGACAGCTGAACAGTACCCCAGATTAAGTTACAACAGGTTTTTAATGTGCTTATTTTCAGGTGACAAGATCTGCCATTTCACCATACAAGCATACGATTTTTTGTTGTTGTTACGTTTGCTTTAACATAGCACTTACCAGGGGTGTTTGTAAGACCCCAAATAATCCCCTGAAACTTTTATGGACTTACTACCGACATTTTTTTTTTTTTTTTTGAGTTTCGAGAAGGGGGGGGAGAGAAATGAAAAATTACAATTATGAAGTATTGAATGACCTAATTATAAAAATTCAATGAATTACTTTTTTTGCAAAATTAATAACCATAAATTTTCAAACATATAAACTAAATTTTATGTAAATATTTTTAATTCTTTAAAAAAAATTATCTAATCTCTTGCTTTTTTTTATTTTCTATGTTTGTGGGGCTTGTCTTTCTTTTGTGGTGAACTTCATAATTGCAGGGAAAGTTGACTTTATTTTCCTCATTTACAGTTGAAGAAATTTCTTGAAACCTGCACATGCGAGGTAGAAGCGTTTGCTTTTCTGCTAATGTAGAAGGTTTTTCAGAGACTTTTATAGGTGACTCATCTGAAATACATTTTTTTAGTCCTCTTGATATGTTTTCCAACTTCTGTTCATATTCAGTAAGAGATCTTTGTGAATTGGATCAGTCATTGGATTTTTTGAGCCATATTTTTCACATGAGGTTTCTTTAGAAGCCATTAAATCATATTTAATATTCTGCACTGCATCTACGGAATCAATCTAAGAGTTCTATAGTCTATGTCACTGACAAGTGTATCCATTAAGTGAATGCACTTTCCACTAATGGGCCATGGAAGCAGCTAAGGCAGGCTTGACCAATTTAGCAATGTAGGATACTTATCATTTGTGAAATCATCTTTTTAAATTAAAAACTTTAGACCAATTTATGAATTGTACACTTGACTTGATTTCCACTTTCATCAGATGTGAGCATTTCTTTGGTGATATCAATATCACTCTGGTATAACCTCATTTCAGCTTCTACTTTTGACTTTTCATATCACTAAACTATGGGACTAAAAGATGATAATATTTCAAAAGCTAATATTGTACTGGTTTTACCTCTTAGCTCTGGATCTAATGCTGCAAAACTAATTAGATATGAATTTTTAAGGGGTAATTTCTGTTTTCATATGCTGGTGCTGTATTAGTATAAGCTTTCATCAGAGAAATTTGGAATTCTTTTGCTATTGGATGATTTTTTGATAATTTCTTCAGAGAATGGAAGCTTCTGCACCAGTAAATATTACTTTGCTAGGTAGATGGAATTCTGGATTTGGACATCAACCTTTAATAAATCATTATAAGATGTGCACTCTATATACTCTATATTTTCTGGCTTCATAAAAAAAGAGAAAAATTTTGCCATCAATTTATAAATACTGGAATGTATTAAATGAAGCATTGGTTTTTTGTTTCAAATAATTTAATATATGTGTTGAACTCTGGTAATACTGCTGAATATAATGCCATATGCAATAAAGTTTTGTTTTGCATAAAAAATAACCCATTTAGTATTCTTTTTTTCCGAGCTAAAGCATCCTTTGCGAGTTGTTGGGAATGCAAGCAAGAATACACCCCTTCAACAACTTTTTTCTGAGCTGCAGAAATGTTTCTTTTATTGTATACAGTTTCAACATAAGAAAAATAATCTCCTTTATCAGTTTTATCTAAGTAGTGAAAATAAAATTCAATAAGAGCATCCCACAGATCTTTGATTCTTTCTAAAACACATAAAATGTACACCCACCTATGGTCTGGTCTCTTCAAGGGCTTAAGTTTTTTAATGGCAAGGGATTCACAGATTTTGAAAAATTCTCTCTTTTACTGCAGCTTTTCATATCAAAATAGATGTCATCAAACAAATCTTCTAAGTATCTATCAAAACATGAAAGCAAATTTTTTTGCACAGTTATTAGCTGTGTGACATGTGTCACCATCAATATCTAATAAGTGGGGTGCTTTGTTTGATCGTAGTCTGGTTTCAACCCCCTTTTTTTTTTCCATGCATGGTGTTACATGAGTCCATTAATACACTAATTAAGTTGCTCATGGAATATTATTATCTTCAATAGTATTAAAACTGCTTTAAAAACAGCTTTCTGAATTGCAAGATTCCATCTTAGAGATGCAAAATGATGAACTACAACTTCATTTTGATTGTTGTCATAAAACTGCACCAATATTGCCAGTATACTTTCTTGAGCATTGCTAGTACTTTCATTCAAATTTAGAGAAAATGGAGTCTCCTTTAAAGTTTAATGATATTTTCCCTAATAGTTTTTGCGAGCCCATATTTCATCTTATAACATGCAGTAGTCCTGGACATTTCCAACGAGTTTAGTGCCATCTGATCGCGGCTCAACTGTTTGCAGAGTTCAATTAAATTGGGAGCTACATTGAAAGAAAGAGAATTCTCTCGGCGATAAACGAAGTTATTAATACCTCTTGGCGTGCTTTTCTTGTCACTATATCCAATGGCCGAGCATCAGTCTCCAGTAAGTCATCAGTATTTTTTGAATTAGCATAATTACTTAAAGTCATTGAATGTCTAATGCACTTTGAACTATTTTATGTGCGTCACAGTTTTTTAAATGATTTGTGAAAGCCTTGAATCCTTCCCCACCATACTTCAGCAGTGAGTTACAAAAAACACCAATATGCTTGTCCAGCAACATTTATTTTCTTGCACCATGTGCCGATGGTATCCCCATTACATCTCTCCGTTCAATCCAATTCCACCTAAATGCATTCCGGACACCTTCTTCTAATTGTATAATATCACTATTTATATCAAGAAATTTCATAGTGAAATTCTCTTGCGTACATAAATAAAAAAATATTTCAATCAACGAAAAATTTACACGTGCATCAATAAATGAAACGAAAATTTTACACAGCGGAGGAAAAAAAGTCGAGAAGCGATCAATAACAAATAGCTAATACAGCGAAAAATCCCCTTTCTCTACTTATTGGTGCCCTGCCAGGAGAGATAAGACCTTTGAACTCAGAGTCACGTGATCGCACATCTGGTCGAACGAAGTCTCCCCCTTTTTTTTCTGCAGCGACAACTTGCCGAAAAGAATCCAGAAGAGAATGTCCAAGAACCGGGGGAATGAGTCATAACTCGCAATAAGGAAAGAACAAAAAAGTTTTCACCACACACACTGACCTTGCGTTTTCTGCTTTCCAAGCAAACAAAATTACCCAGATCAAAATTAATAATTCATTATTGAACGACGATCCCCGGAATTTCCGGGGTTTCCCCGGAGCACAAGCACCCCTGACTTACATACCACCATGAACCACCACCCAAGAATTTTGACTGGACATTACAGAGGACATAATACACCGAGTTTGAGATGAAGGATGATCACACGATCCACAATGAAGGGTAGTTATTAACCCATAATAAAATTGGAAAGTTGCTGCAGCTGATTGTATAAGTTACACTCACATAAAGTTAGAAAATTTTATGTTGAAAAATATCACCTAAGCATTTCATGATTCACATACAAACATTAAAAAAAAAAGATGTATGCAAAAACGAATTTTACAATTTTGTAATATGATCTGAAAATAATGCACTTGGCACTGAATAAATTTATTTACATTTGCATAAAGAGGTTGTATACTACATTATATACCATTTATGTTGAATATTAATGTGAAATATTGAATATTAATGTGAAATATTGCATTCAGAATCATCCTAACTGAAGTCTGTGGTTCTCAAGTTCTTTGTTACAAGTAAAGAAATAAAAATTTGCAAAATCAAGAACACGCATTATAAATAACATGCAGAAAGATTTATAGGCAGCTAAATCCAATTACATATCACACATAAGCATCTGTTATTCAAATTTAATAACAGTAACAGCCCATACTCATACAAGCAAATAAACAGAAATAAATACTGTATATGTAGAAATAAAAATAAAAAACACAGCTCCACATATAATTGTTACCTATAGAGAAAACGAATTAAGAGAAAATATACTTACATCTGCACTTTGTCCAACCTGAAAATAAGACTTTGATTTACAAATCTCTGGTCAACTAAAGATTATAAGATGAACAAAAGTGTCTGTATATTACTAGTGGCAACATCATGTATTGCATTTTAAGCAGCAAAATTCCAAAATTATTTAATATCAGAAAAATAATCAAAAATACATACACTTCTGGGGAAAAAGTAATTTTACAGATGCCACAAACATTAAATCAATGTTAAATTCATTTTTAATTATCAAAAAATTAAATTTTATCCACATATTACATACTTTGTATTCCCAATAGCTCTCGGTAAAAGTACCAAAAAATCAATATTTCTACATATACAGTAAAATATACAAAAATTAATGAGTCCTTAAAAATTTATTAAAAAATCATTAAAGTAGCAGTGAAGTGTGGGTTTTAGTTTTCCAACTGCAGGGGTAATTTTTCTGCTTAGTGCTTATTCCGATCTGTGTTTGATGAGTTTCAATACCCCCCCCTTTCTTTTGTAAGGAATTGTAATGGAAGTGTGGAGTTTGCTTGTTGATGAGAAAGCACTGCATTTCTTCAGAAATATAGTGTTTTGCCTCACACCAGAGAATGCAAAAATTTGTATTCCATGAAGTTACATTTCATAAATGATCGAATCAATGCAACTCTGTTTCAGTAAAGCAAAAACCAAGTGCTGTGTACAAGGGGAAAGCATGTGTAGAACCAAGTTGTGCATGGTACCAAGTTTCTGCAATTCTCTAAATTTTTTTTAAGCTAAAACGAATCGCTATGTACATGCGGAGAAGAGCAGAGAAAAGGATAAGTGTTTTACTATGGATATTTCTTGCATTTTTGATTTTGTTAATTTAGTTGCTATTTCAATGTAAGTCTTAGCATAACACCATTTTTTTAAATAGCTGTTGTCTTTTGCATCTCAGGTTGACAAAAAATTAGTTGCCAACAACTGATGACTTTTCAGGACAGTTGGGGGATAATCAATTTGCTAACATGCATATGGGGGGAAAAAAAAAACTGGAGTTTGGCTTGAATATTTCTCATTTTTTTTTTGGTAAATCAATGTATGTTGATCATTAATATACATTATAAATATACTAACCAAAAGACAATGAATTTTAATCTCCCTGCCAGAAAATTATGACACCTGAAAGTACACCTGAATCTGATTTAAAATGCCCATATACAGAAAAATACTTTAAAAATATATATAGTAGTAAAAACTCCGAAATCTGAACACCCAATATCCAGAATGATCAAACACTTGAACCACCAGCCCCCCCTTTTTTTTTCAGAACTTTTTTTCATAAAATTTAGAAATGAAAATTGTAATAACTCCAGAAAAAGCAAGTGTTGTAAAAGCAATTCTTCTCCTACCGAACCAAGATTCCTATATGTAACTCTCTAACACCTGCTAGTTATGGAATTACAACTATGACAATGCATTCATTGACATTAGCTATGACCACACTTTTAGCCCCCGAATGGTTTTAGAGGTGGAAGTTAATATTTTTCTGTCTTACCTAAACAATGAAATGATGCTAATACTGGTTTTCTATTGGTGGCATAACAGCAGGAAGAAAGAAATAATTAGATTCAGAAGAAATTAAATTAACACAGCAAACTGCACTCTTCTTTTAACAACTTAATCCAGCTTACTTTTATTTGCACGCAATTATTATTATAGCTATCTATTAAAATTAAAGTTTAAATTTTTTATTATATCTTAAATACTTTCTAATTCTGGAACTACAGTGCAAAAACATATTTAGTACTAGCCTTCTATAGAAGCCTTGGCACGAGAAAACTACGCTGGCACAATTTAGGCTAAGAAAGAGCAATTTCAAATTTGGGCAAACAGCTCATGTATATTTTGAAACTGAATGTGAAATTTTCCAATCAATGGAAATTGTGATTCTGCCACGCTGCTCAACCTTACTGCAATATCGGGAATTGTTCGCAACTAATTTTTCGCCAACCTAACGTGAAAAACTGTAGCCATTTAAAAACAAATAGTAGCATGTTGAAAATTACTTAAAACAGTAACAAATTAATCAAATTAAAAAAGCAAGCATTTATAACGAAACAGTAAAAAGTACATAAAACATATATCCATAACAAAACACACAAAAAAATTTTTAAAACAGGAACAAATTAACTAAAAAATGTAACAAGCATCTGCAATAAAACTTAACTTTCTATTTTCTTCACCTGTGTAACTTTAAAAAATACATCAGCGAACTGCAGAATTCTCGGCAATGCAAAGCAACTTGGCATTCCTCTCTCATGTACATAATGACCTGTTTTAACTTGAAAATATATCAAAGAACTGCACTTATTCAGAGAAAACTATTATTACAATCATTTAAGAAGAGCAGTTCATAAACTACTTTTGAGCTGCAAGATTTCTATAATAATGCAACATCAGAGATAAATAATGCTAGCCAAATGTGTTGCTTTCACGCATTTTGCTGGCAAAGCACATTTCTATACAACTGAATCTGTTGTAAAACACAGCTTCATGGAATGTGAATTCCTACACTATGCAAAATACCATATTTTTGAAAAATGCAACACTTGCTTTTTCATTAGTAGGCAAACTTCACGGTGACATTATAATTTGTTACAAGGTGTGAAAAGAAACCTCAACAGCTCATTCAAGCACTCTTGCAAGTATTAATAGGTTGCCAGATAAAACACATTTTTGTAAAATTCTGGGTTGCCCACTTCAGCGACATAGTACTTGCCTGGTGATTCTTGTCAGGGTTGGGTGGATAATGTGATAGTACCAAAATTGTTAATAAGTGTGGAGAACTGATAATTAATGAAGTTGATATAATAAGTTTTCCATTTTAAAAATGGTGCTCCAATCAGCAATTAACTAATGGACAGTGAAATCTGCAGTATGTTTTAAATATGGAAAATAGACAGTGAGTTTTGTGAATGAAAAAAGATTTTGATTGACAGTTTAGTGGTAATTTTTGACACCGCAAGTACAAAACTTGAACAATGGAACAAGTAACTGAACAAAAAATAATACCTATCTACAAAATTAAACAGGAGAATATCAGCACAAGAAATGAAATGTTTTAAACAACTTCCATTGAAGGAAATGTTTAATACAACAAATAAATATTCAGCTTTTTTGTTAATTTTGGTTGCTTAAAGAAAAAAATGCTTTATTGTTCAAAAATATTTCACATTTTAAATTTTATAATTTTTACATATCATCTTGGTAGAATTCAGCTGACGATCTAAAATTAGGAATGTGGAGTTGTCACATCGTCTTGCTGAAGTCCCAACGACTTTGGATCTCAGAATTTGTACTGCAGTTATTGGCTTTATTCAGTTCAAAGAAATTTATTTAGTTCAAATATAAAAAGAATCATTTAGTCAAGAATGACATTAAATTAAGGATAGACTACATGGTATATCTGTTATACAGCCATGATAAGAAAGTTTTGTCATGAATGTTTCCAAACTATTCGTGAAAGCAAGCAAACCAATGACGTATTCTTATGATGATAAAATTGCTGTTCAAGTGAAAGTATGACAACACAGATCATAAAATAACTGAAAAAATTATACTAACATAAATTATATCACTTTTTTATTTAAAAAAACTGTCATTTGAAATTTTCAATGCTCTGTGTAAGTAAACTCTGAAAATTTACAAAAGAAAATTTTTAATTAATTATCATGGAACATTTATGTATATAACAGAATATGAATTTTCAATACTGAATACAATTTTAATGCTGAATTAAACAGAACACATAGCCAGCCCAAATTAAACTTTTTTCATGTCTATCTTAAAAAATACAGGGAAATTTATATATTATTATCTATTCAATAACAGTATCTGCATCAAGTAATATTACCCACTAAGCTTGTAAAAATAATAAAAGAATCTGGATTAGGAAAATTATGCAGTAAACTTGCAAAAAGGATAAAAAAAATTCCATTTCCCCTTGATAAACTATATTTGATTTGTTGAATTTTTTCACTTATGGGAACCTGAAGAAATTAACTAGAAATTAAACCAGAATTTTTTTTAAAAAAAAGGCTACATTCACGTGTTTTAAATTAAATCTAAATTTCTTAATCTTCATTTTTATCAATATTTAAATTCATTTTGCAAATTTGAAACCATTCATTTATACGTATTTAAACTGCCTGAAATAGAACAATGTTTCAGAACAGCACTATATGACAAACTAGTACACAGAAGCAACTCACATTAAAGGAAAAAAAAAGGCAAACTGCAGCTTTTTAACAAGGGAACACAAATTAAAAATTAAGCAAGATCTTAAATTCATAATTTTTAATGGTACTTTTTGTTAAAGCCATACCATGGATTTTTTGCATTGTATCAGTGTATACTGGTTTATTTTTTCTCCCACACACACCTTCAGTTTCTTAATGGATGATATGGAATGTTCAGGAACAGTAACAAGGGGGAAAAAAATTAATTTCATGGTGAAAATCCTCCAAAAATCCACTGTAAAGGAAGAACATTGTCTACATAATCTTTCTCTTTTTGATTAAGCTTCATGAATTTGCACAATTTTGCAGGTTTTAATGTGAGAACGAGGTAACGAAGGACTGACACTTACCACTCTTGTACAATTATTCAATAAACCACTGTGCTGCCATTCATGTGAAGTAAGCTTTGGTTCACAAACTCAATCGAGGCTAACTGTTCACATTTTAATCTCATGAGGTGGTTATTTGAACAGAATCTTTCTTAGTGAAGAAAATTTGTTTCTTGAAGAAACAGAATAGCCATTGGCAAATCCAAAGGCATGAAATCAAATTAAGAGGGGATTAAAAACATGGTTGTGCAAAAGATAATTTTGAAAACAATTATCAGCAGGAAAGAAACCCAACCCAACTGGCGAAACCTGGCCCTAAGGAAACAAAAAAAGACACCAAGCAGTATGCCTTTAATGAAAAAGTACCCTTTTAACCCTCTGAGCGTTATGACCGGTCATCAGAAGTTTTGTTACTTGGCATATATCAGCTTCTAATTTAAGACATTTTGCTTTCTTACTTTCTTTAATAATGTAAATATTATCTTAATGAATACAAGTTTATGAAAATACATTCTAAAATAAGTAAATATATAAACTCAAATAATAAATGCTTTTTAAATACCAGTCTTCATGACGGTTCTAAAATCCTGTGCCGCTCAGAGGGTTAACATTCTGATTTGAATACTGCCCATGTAAATAATAAATGAAGTACCTTGTAGTGAGCAAACTGACGGTAAAGGTACATTCCCCCAATAATACCAGTGGTTAATACAAGAAGTGCTGTTGCAAACACACAGAGAGTAGTCAATGAGCTAGCCCTTCTAACATGAGCATGCATGGTGACGACAACAGGACGACCTTCTTCAGCATCTTTCACATTAGGCTAAAAATAAATTGCAAATTTTAAGCAATTTTATGAATGAATAATACAGAACTAAAATAGCAAACTGAAAAAGTTTACAATAAGTTCAAACTTTCACTAATTTAATTAATAAGAGTATATTAAGTGGCTACTTTTCATACTTATAAAAAATGTGCAATCAGATGTGGAAAAAAATATAATAATATTCAATATATGCATGTGAAAAATAAATCGGCTTACTTCTTATAATTACAACAGAAGTTCATCACCTTATTCTTATCAATTTAATCCAAATTCTCTCAACAATGATACAGTGATTATGTGGCAAAGCTTACATTACCACAAAAAATAACATTCGTGTTCTATCTTACAAATACAGACCAATAGCCTAGAGATCACATTATATGAAGCTAAAAATGAGAAATTCTAAGTTTGAGCTGCTACCATCATTTTATCACCGTTATTAATTCTTTTAATGCTACTGTATTTGAAAAAAAAAAAAAAAAAAAAGAAAAAAAAAAAAAAGAAAAAAAAAAAAAAAAAAACTTGCTCATGAAAAATAATTTTTAATATGCAAAAAGAATGCACAATAAAAGTTTTGAGCCAAAACCAATTTATCTACTTTTTCAAACTGGTTTGTTTCAACATGTTTATTTGCAATTGATTTATCATAAAAACATTTAAATATACAGTACTGGCATCCAATACATTCAATAAATATTAGTTCATTACAATTTACTCATATGCAAATGGAACATATGAAAATTTAATAGGGGTTCACTTAATGTTGTAGATTATAATGAGAAAGATTTTTATAATGCTAATAGATGGCCGCTTTTCCCTCGAAATTTCTACGACAGATATTCTGAAGAAAATTTAAATAGTGATAAAACTACACTTACTCAAAACATCTGATGCAATTTTATATTCTGAAATTAGTTTCAACAATTATGGTAAGCTGTTGACAGAAATCCAGTCTCATGTTAAAAATAGATTGGAGTGTAGCAGGTATATTTGTATTTGCATTCTGGTTTAAGTTGCTGTTTTGAGAATAACATCTGTCAAATACTGTGAAAGAGATTCTAATACATAACCAATACTTGAGTAATACAAAATATGATTCACAACACTTCACTGATAAAACAACTTGATAAATAACAGTTCACATAAGTAATTACACTTGATAATTGTAATTATCAACATGAAACTGTGTGCATTCTACTGGAAAAAAAGAAAACTGCACAATAGGAAAACTGTTGAATTCTTTAAGGGTTTAAAAAAAAAAAAGGAAAGGAAATGCAAACAGCCATAAGGATGCCTCTTCTGATGCAAAGAAAATGCGATTGGAGAAAGCAAAAAAGTATTACATTTCCTTCTGATTATAACATGAATCAATGCAAATTCAAAGATGATGATGATAATAGTAATTAAAAAAAAAAAAAAAAAAAAAACCTTTCACTATACAAAAAGCTGTACAACACTTCAGATTCAAATGAAAAATAAGGCAACAATTTGAAATACAGTGATAGCATTCTTTGCTTTTAAAACCTATGCCTTTATATCTGAAAACCATAATAAAGGGGAAAAAAAAAAAAAAAAAAGCATTATGGAGCAGCCAAAAGAAAAACAAATAAAATTCAGAAATTACTATAAAATAATCTGTCAACTTAACAGGAGTTTTAGATAAAAAATGCAATAGTTCAGTCAAAGCTTTAATAAAAAATATTGTTTTGATGTATAGCTTTCAAACAGGACATATACTGCAAGAAAAATGTTTACGCATGCGCATAATACCTTTACACTTACGCATGCGTGTTTAATAATATATAATGGATGGTATAAGCTAGGGTAAAATTATCCAATTATCTATTTCAGTTAATGTTGCAGATTGTGTTGTTCCTTAATCTTCTAACTGGATCCGGCTTATTATTTTTTGCAGACATCTAGAGCAATTTTATAAAAAGTAAGCTTGAACTTTCGATTATGTCAAAAAGAGTTTCCGATCCTGGAGCTGCCAAAGCATCTGCAAAGCGAAAGCATGTTTAGATGTACCGCTTCCGATAGTGAAGAAAGTGACAGGTTATTGAAAACGAAAAAATTTTGATTGACAAATTAGTTGGTATTCTCAACACAGCATTTATACGACTTGAACAGCGGAACTTTGTAACTGAACAAGAAATTATGTCTGTTTAAAGAATTCAAGAGCAAGTATTAGCACAAAACAAAGCAACTTAAAACTTGTATTGAAAGAATGTTTAATACAGTTAAACAAATAAATATTAAGTTTTTTTTTGTATTTTGATACCCTTTAGATCATAATTGCTTGTTATTTCATAAATTTACGGTTTCATATTTTAATGGGCCCACACGCCGAGCGGTAAAGTCGCTGAACACTGGTAGTTCGGTCCGAGGTTCGAATCCCGCGAACGGGCTGGCTGCATGTGGTCGTTTTCGAGGTTTTCCCCATGTGTAACGTGTATACGACCAGTTTCCCTTAGAAAGTCCTCCACGAAGGCATCCTCCCTTAGGCAGATAGCCCTCCGTACTTTGCCATAATTAAACAAACCACCATTTTTTATTTTATAATTTCTGCATGCTGTCTTACTAGATTTAAACTGATGATCTATAATCCAGAAAAACCGATAATCCGGAATCGCTGAAGTCCCGAAGAGTCGGGATTAAAGACTTTTGACTATAATGATTTTCAGAATATATTAAATAATTTTTATTGTGTTTTTCCCTTATATGATTTCTGCCTTACTACATGATAGTTTTATATGAATAGACAACTGTTTATACGTTTTATTATTAATTTTTGTAATTAATGGGATTTTGATTATACTAAACAACTGCCCGTGCATATTAGGCTACTGACCCTTTGATCATCACAGACTTCCTTTAAAATTTTAGCGACATCCTGGGGGTCAATACTGACGACTTCATAGGGAGCCCTAAATTCTATTTTATTTAAGGAACTGAAAATGCAAGAGAAATAATATAATATTTCAGTGAAAGTTTTAAATCAAAATTTTTACCTTTAAACATATAGCATATAATCCAAAGAATTTAAAAAACGTTTTAAACTTAGCTGTAAAGATTTAATTAAAACTCGCAAAAAGTAATTAAAATCTTCAAGCACTTTCAATAGACCTCAATCAAAATTCAAGAATATCGTTATAGTAATGACATACAGGTCTGCCATTTTGGCTTCATTGGCGAAACTAATAAACCTTGACGAGAAAGTAATTGCTCAAAAGGCTAAAATTTTTAACAAAAGATGGAATTTTGAAACCAAAAGAAAACTTTTAAATACAATGATTTTTTTTAATGTTTTGATAAAGAAAAAGCTTACTTTAATAATTGAATGAAATTTAAGTATGTTCAGACTCTTTTAAAACAAAAATAGGAATAAAAAATATCAGTCAGTGCAAAACTTTATTTAAATTTTAAAATCAATTATTCTTTAAAAAAGTAGACTCAAAAAGGTGCCCAAAAAGTGGATGGTTGGAGTTTTTTGGCACAAAATCTATGGCCCAAAAAGTGGTCAAAAAGTTTTTAATAAATGTTTTGTAGATATAAGTAGAAAATTCCATAAAGTTGAATTTTAGATTCTTTAATATTATTTAAAATTACAGAAAGTGAAAAAGGAATAAAAGAACTTTGTTAGAAAAGTAAAAAAGTCTTCACATCATGGGCTTATCTCCATAACTGAGTATATAAAGCCCTTTTTTAGAAACAGAATAGTAATTAAGAGAAAAATTTTTTTTAAAAATCCTATAAACTCTTTAACACATCCGTCTTTATCCTTCTCTTTTGGAGCTTTTAGATAAAAAATTCATACTTTTAAAAATTATTGTAGGGTGTAGACTACTCCAGATTTCTTTAAAAGACTATTAATGAATTTTAAAGGAATTTCATTATCTTTTACAATTTTGGTGAGAATTAGAATTTCTTCTTTTTGTATTTTTATTTCAGTGTAAATGTTATTGATTCTGCTAATTTGGCTAATAATAGTATTTGCAATAACTTTCTTAGATATGGCGGAGTTCCAATTTATTAGTAAGAAAATTAAAATCTTTTCTTTTTTCAAAAAGTTTTAATTTCTGTTATATTATAAATACTTAGATCAAGATTTCAGTTTGTTTTTTATTGGTCTTATTTAGTTTTAGACAATTATCGTAGATATAGCTGTTTTCGATTCAATTTAAATTGTTGAAAGTAATAATGTCATCAAATGATTTCAATGTTCCTCCTAAACTTGTTATATATATATATAATTTTTGTTTGATTACAGCGAGCTTTGCTATAAAGAGTCCTCCCCTTAGACGCGAGCATAAAATCAAAATAATGAAATGAATATAACTCCTATTAACAGTGCATATTTAGCCAAAAATTATGAATTTCAATGTGAAGTAAACACGTTCTCCAGATCAACTATCCAATTTAAGTATCAATTTCAAAAATTGTCCTCTTTTCATTTTTGATTATGTTTTTATATATGTAATAAATCAGTAATTTATTATTAGAAAAGTTTTTTAATATATCACCTCCAAGCAACAGAAATTTAATTAAAGTGAAGAATATTTGGAATAAATTTAAGTCAGTATTTTAATTAATTTAGATTTCTACTGTAGCAAAAAAAATTTAATCTTTAAAACTGTAAAGAAACTGTAAAACTTTAAAAACTGTAAAGAAATAATATTTTGAACTATCAAAATTCTAAAAAATAAAATTAAAAATTAAAATTTAAAGTACTGAAAAGGTAGCTATTGTCATTCACCATAGATTAATAGGCTTGTCAAGGAGAACGAATCAATCCACTAATAATTAACAATAACCAAATTAATTAAGAGCGTTTCATCTTTTTTCCAAGTAAGGATCAAAATAGTAATTTTGCTAGAGTTTAATCATAAGCTAAAAACCAAAATTAGAAAGATATTACTCTGCTTGAGCCAAAAGACTTGTCATAAATAAAAACTAAAATAAAAATTAGAAAGGAATTCTTAATTTAAGGTACTAGTTAACAACAGAACTAAACTAATAAAATGAGATCCTCACTTTAGAAAAAAAATTCCCCCCGACAGTCTCCCATTGTAAAAACAATAAAAAATACTAAAACCTGTACAAATTAATCTATACAAAAGATACGAGAAATCAATAGAAAAAGGTTCAAATTAATACATTTTAAATTAAAATGTAGTCATTTAATACCAATTAATACATTCTTTTAGATCCAAATGCAACATCAAAAGTAAAGTTCTCAAATACAAATTTATACATTCTTTTATATTAAAAGTTAAAATAGTGATTTATATACAATTTTTGGCTCAATGCCAGAAAGGAAATTAAAATTAACTTACTTGTTTGCAAAATTTGAAACGAAATGGCTGGGAAATGTACTCAGTGATGGAATGCAATAGGGTTGTCATATTTAGCGTGAGAAAAGGGAGCGGTTGGTAACATGTTGTAGTTCTATTTGAGATATGGCAGCCTTAAAGTTGGCGAGATAATCTTACAGCTAGGCAAGCTGTCATCAGAGATCAGATTCTTATCAAAAAATTTTTATCCAACAGAAGAAATTAATTTATTTCTCGCTAATGATCTAGAAAGCATAAAGAAGGTATCATCTCTGTTAAAGGTGTATTTACCAGACTAAGTATATGAAATAGGTCCATGAGTTAGTAAAAAAAGAATGGCAGAAAAAACTTGTATTTTACACAGCATACAAAAATTAATTATAAAATTTACAAATCTTTAACTAACAGACATCAAACTCATTCTGCCTTTTGAAGGTTTAGGAATAAATTGTCATAACCCTATTAACAGATTTAAAATAAGTATTTAACACCTGCTTTTTTAAGCCAGTAATTAATAAATTTCTCTGAGGCCAAATTATTTTTAAGAGTATGAGCATGTATTAATATCTCATTTTGAATATCTAATGTATCAGTACAAATATTTTTTTATTCGTTGTATTTGAATAACGACTGTGTTACTAATTACTTTTCTGGAAATTAAGACCAATTAATTTATTAGTTGCAAATTTGAAGTTCCAGGTTTTGTCATAGAGTTTGATTTGCGTGAAGTTAACTATTTGAAGATCTAGAAATTCAAAAATATTTTGTGACGAATTAGTTTTATTAAGAATGAGTCTCTCGGAATAAATTTGGGAATTTTCTATTTAGTTAAAATTAGTAACAGTTGTGTCTTTTGGTTTGTGTCTCTTTCCCTACAGTAAGCACAATGCAAAAACATTTATCCAATCGCTGTGCTCGATTAAAACAAAGTGCTCTGAAATTGTATATACTCTGGCCACAATATTATGCACTCTCTTTTGTGGCCTACGCTTGACAGCTAAAGGACTCCTACTGCTTCGCTGTATCTATTCATTAGCCTAAATGTAACACCTCATAATTAAAACTGTGGAGTGCAGATTGCCTCCATTGTGCTGTGCCATGCTATAGAATAATCAACAACTAATAAAGATATGTTTGTATTATCAAGTGATTTTGTAATCCATCTAAAATTCCCAGCATCTACTACAAGGGTGAATCAAATGCCTATTATGTCTACAAATTATTTTTCTAAATAATCTCCTCCTTCTATGATATATTTTTCACAAAGTTTTGGTAATTTTTGCGTTCCATTCTCGTAGAAATGAAGTTGGATGCGTATCTAACCAGCTGAACACAAATGTTTACACTTAATTGTTGGTCTCAAATTGCTTGCCCCCATGTGCTTTCTTGAAGGGTCCAAACATGAGAAAATTGCATGGCAATACTGCTGCTGTGTGAGACTTAGCACTGTCGTGAAGGATCAAGACTTCTCAGATGGGATAATCTCATTTTGTGCATCAATACTGAGGCCTAATTTGATCCAAGAGTAGTAGGTTGCATTGATGGTCTGATATTCATGTAAGACATACACCGGTTGGACCTCACTCCAGTCCTCAAAAACCGTGGCCAATACTTTACCTGAAAACAATCGAGTTCTGGCTTTCATGGGTTTTCCTTTACCTTTTCTTCTCGACTCCATGCTTGCTCACTTTGATTGGTGATGTAATGGTGCAACCATGTCTTGTCACAGATGGCAATTTTATGCAAAAAAAAAGCTTTTTCTTCTTCAAAACGAGTTTGAAGCCATTGAGAAATGTGAACCTGTGCACCTTTTTTATTATCATTCAGCAACTTTGGAACCCAATGAGTTTGACATTTTTCTGAAGCCAAACTGCTTTCTGATCATTGATTGAACACTTTCACAGCTGACACCAAGTTCTTCCAAAATTTGGAGCACTGTGCAGTGTCGATCTCGTTCGATAAGCTGACGAGCATGTGAGATGTTTTCGTTAGTCACATTGGCATGACGACCAATGAGCAGCGTTTGATCTTGATTCGCATTCACTTGATTGCTTGAATTAGTTGCAACAAACCTTCACTCTTGACCATGAAAGGGTAGCTTCCTCGAACTGTACATGCAGTCTGCTGGTTTCGTGTTTTGACTGACGAGGAACTTTAGAATTAGGTGTTTTTCAATAGAGAAGGGCTACTAGATGAAACATTGGACAAGCCAGCTGGTGTGGTTCCCTTACTCTAGGTAACCCAACCTAAGGACTTCAGCTGCTAAAACACATACAAATACTCATCCCCATGCTCAGCCAATAAAAGTTCGTTCACATTTGATTGCCCTACGTACATGATCAAAATGTCAGCAATCTCTTCATTCCACTCGCAACTACAAACTAATAACCATCTTCCCAAGTCAAACACTTTCTGATATCAAATTATCTGCAACAAACTAAATTATAATCACAATTTAGTCCGACAAGATTACTACCTGTTGCGACCCCAATGGAAACATATCTGCAAGTTCAAAAGTTCTAATGAAAACATATTGTGGAATTATTACTATTCACCTCTTCAATATTTCAAACTGAATTGAAAAAAAAAGTGTTCTCTAAATAACCAACAATTTTCAA